ACATAATAAATGTCTCCATCCGACATCTCCCTGATTTCCACATACTGTGAGGTGACCCCCCCCCCCCCACACATTTGGACAGGTCCATCCTCCACCCTGGGAGACTCGCCATGCGCCGGCCACTTAGTTGTTTCCATGATGTCGATGGGAGAGGACTTGCAGCTCCTCACCTCAGCTGGTACTGTCGCCTCTATTCTTTAATTTAGGCTTTCTGCCTTATCAAAACATGCTTAACATATCAATAAACACTTGCTACGGCCGCTGGGCACACGACCAGCTACAGGCAATCATTGTTAACTGGTTAAAATGAACTTACCACAGAATTTAGTCTGCTCGCGGCACTCGCTGATGACTGGGCGGTCGACACTCAAGGCGCCTTCCATTGCCCATAGAACTGTTTTAAACTGCTCCACACACTTTCTGCAGTTCACGACTTCAGCTGACACGTCCACAAACTTGTTCCACTGTCGAAAAGTCCGACCACTTCCTTCTTCTTGAAGGTATATCACTGAGGGGTTCTTCTTCACCGGGGGCTCAAACGGAGCACGCCCTCCCCTCACGATTTCTTCAGCTCAAGTGGGGTCAACGTCCTCTGAAGCGAGCCTCACACCTACAGCAAATTCTCCACATCTCATGTCAAGTCATTTATTTATATTCTTACTTACTGCTCATACTTTTAAACTACTCGTCAAATTGAATCGAGTGTTTACTATATACATATCCAGGTCTACATCTCCTCGAGCTCTTAGGTCAGGCCTGGCAGAATAACTCTCAGGGGATGACTCGTTTCTCCTGCAGCCTGAGATCATAACCCACCCTTGCCTATCCCCGTCTCTCTCATACCAGCAGCATGGTCTCCTGTGTTACGTGTTGAGGACATGAGCAGCAGCATGGTCTCCTGTGTTACGTGTTGAGGACGTGAGCAGCAACATGGTCTCCTGTGTTATGTGTTGAGGACGTGACCAGCAACATGGTCTCCTGTGTTATGTGTTGAGGACGTGACCAGCAACATGGTCTCCTGTGTTACGTGTTGATGACGTGACCAGCAACATGGTCTCCTGTGTTATGTGGTTATGTGTTGAGGACGAGACCAGCAACATTGACCTAGATTCACGAAGCTCTATGTATTTCTTCATAAGTAGGTTTGCTACGAAGGTTCCTAAGTATGCTCTAAGAAGATGCTTAGGTGCAATTCACGTAGGTCCACTTAGGAAGATATTTGTTGGTTCACCTGCGTGCCGATAGAGGTCACTACTGTGTTTCGTTTGGCCAATCAGAGAGCAGCAACATTCTTCATATTGAAGATTTAGCGCTGGCTTATCGGAGCTCTATTGCCTCCTATTTACGTCAAATTTTCTTATAAAATTAGTATATTTCGAAGAAAAACTGTGTTTTTTTCAACTTCTACAGGCAGCACGGACATTGTAGTAAACAAACATGTTACATTTGTTGTTTACCTACGTAATTCTAAGAGATACTGTGTAGCTGTCCTTGTTGCTCGGAAAATGCGCTGACAATTATTGCATATATTTACTGAATTTACCCAAGGGCCACTAACTATCTAGTGACCTCGAAGAGGACAGAAAGCCGGCGGCTTGTTAAAGGGCCCGCCAATTGTCTTAATTATATTTTTTACCTGGACTTTGGCATTTACGGCTTCAGCGGGTAGGCGGTTCCATGGGTTTATAACCCTCTTTGTGGAAAAAACATCTGTTTTCAGTCCTTCTTGAGAGAACATACTCTCCAACACTATATCTGTGATTGCCCTGTTATCAGTGACTTCATACCAAATGGTATGAGGTACTTTGAGCTCTGTAATTACTTCATACACTCAGGAATATTGGAAGATATTCTTGTGCTGCACCCAGATTTTGCCAGTGGAGGCTAATAGATCAGTCTTAAGTATTTTGTTCTCATCTGATTCCATGTATGACTGGCCATCCTGTGAGGTGAGGATGTTGGATGGGCTTGTAGCTGGTTTTTGATCTACACTGTGTGGTCCTTCATACAGAATAGGGAAGCAGCACATTGCTGTGTATACCTAAACATGTTAAAAAATACATTGTTTGAGAGGAGTCTTGTAGAAACTGGTAAGAGTAATTATAATGTATCCATGATTCAGTGCTTACGTCTTGTGAAAATCGTGAAGAGTTGTTTAGTCATAGTTGATTTGTTTTTTGTACTGAGGCTGGTATTTTGTACCTTGATTCCATGTATGTCTAACCATCCTGTCAGATGGGAGTATTTGATAAACTTATAGCTAGTTTTTTATCTACACTGTGTAATATTCCATATAGAATAGGGCAGCAGCACATTGCTGTGTATACCTAATCTTCTTAATAAAAAAAATCAGTAATAAAGATTTTAAATTATAGTTTGTATTATTACAAGTACTGTATTATCCTTATTAAATCATGTTAACCATAGATCATCAAGATCTCATGTTGATATGTCATAGTCATATTTCTTTTGAACTGCTAATCCATGCTAATCATTTTTGAATCATTCATTAAATTGTGCATTATGTCTCAATTTTTCACTTCCTTGGATATACTGTACAATACAAGAAGATAGAATAAAAATAAACCAGTAATATTTCTTTCATTATAGTTTTTATTTAAATAACTGCATCAATATTTTTACAGCTGACAGGATTTGTTTTAACATACAGGTGCATTATTTGTTAAAAAAAAAATTGGTTTATTGTTACACACAATGGTGCTACATAGCCTTCCCAGCTTGGTGCCTATTTTTAATACTTATTGATTAATAAATAAATCATAATAAATAAATTTTATTCAGGAAAAGTACATACAGTTGATTTACAAACATAATGTTGGATTTATAGACAGAGCTAGTACATACAAAACCTAAAGCCACTAATACTCATAGCATTTCGGGCAAGGTGTGGAGGAAAAAACACTTAGACTAAAACTTAATAGTAATCGGGATTAGGTATAAATTGTGTTGAAAGAAGGAATAAAAAAAGGGAAGGTAACATAACAGAAATCAGCAATTGTACATGTTGGTGAACAAACAGCATTGTTTAAAAAATAGCAAGACATGGGTTGACATTTAAGGGGTAAGGTAGGTTACATGGAGTTAATTAGGTAGTACTTGGTTTTACTTTTAAATTAGTTGAGAGAGGTACAGCCTTTGACATGATTCGGGAGGTCATTCCACATTCTGGGTCCCTTGATTTGTAGAGCATTCCTAGTTTGGTTACACACATCCAAATTGTGTAACAGGAAGAGGTCTTGAACACAAATTTGTTCCATGCTAAAAGTAGAGGAATCAGCTGAGTATTCCTCAAATAAAATAAGTTGCCTCAGCTTATAAGGTAAATATAATAAGCATTTCTCAAATGAGTAACTGTCTCACCTCACTGCTTTACTGCTACATAGCCTTCCCGGCATGGTGCCTTCTTTTGATAATTACTTGTTCCACACCCAAGTTGTGTACCAGGAAGAGGTCTTGGACCCCTACTTCCCTCTCTCTTTTTTAATAGTCCATATAGTCATAATTATAGCTTTAAGTATTCAATGAATAAAGTTTTTGACATTTTTACCCTTCTCCTTACCTAACACCATTTGTGCAGCATATTTTTATTTTATGTCTTACCCAGATTTAATTTCAAAATAAAACCAAACTAAATAAATTAGAAATGGGTATGTATAGCTAAGGTACACCCTTACTACTAGATGAACAGGAGCATTTGGTGATAGTAAATGATCCCATCAGGCAGGGCTCATCACCTTCTCTCATATTTCATGTTCACCAGTGTTTATTTACTTAATAACTACGGGTATAATATCTTGCTATTATAAAACTAATTCTAATATCATAAAAGACATATTTACTTTAAGTTTCAAGCAGAGAATGCTTATATAACTAACACGAAGGACTCCTCTTCACGAGATTCAATTGCTATATTTTGTTCATGTTCCAAAATCTTAAAATCGATCCCAGTGTTATGTAGTAGAGAAAAATTGAGTTATATCCAGTTTACGTAAAGCTACGAGTGGTCGACACCACACTTAGATCCCGGACCAAAATTACAAAAGTTTTTCGATTTAGTGTAGCTAACTGAATACCGACGTAGCCGCCACGAAGGCGCTAAGAAGGAAAACATTCGGAGCTAAGAAGAAAAACCTTCGTAAGTACCTTCGTGAATCTGGCCCCTGGTCTCCTGTGTTATGTGTTGAGGACATGACCAGCAGCATGATCTCCTGTGTTACGTGTTGAGGACATGACCAGCAGCATGGTCTCCTGTGTTATGTGTTGAGGACATGACCAGCAGCATGGTCTCCTGTGTTACGTGTTGTGGACGTGACCAGCAGCATGGTCTCCTGTGTTACGTGTTGAGGACGTGACCAGCAGCATGGTCTCCTGTGTTACGTGTTGTGGACGTGACCAGCAGCATGGTCTCTTGTGTTACGTGTTGAGGACATGACCAGCAGCATGGTCTCTTGTGTTACGTGTTGAGGACATGACCAGCAGCATGGTCTCTTGTGTTACGTGTTGAGGACATGACCAGCAGCATGGTCTCCTGTGTTACGTGTTGAGGACGTGACCAGCAGCATGGTCTCCTGTGTTACGTGTTGAGGACGTGACCAGCAGCATGGTCTCCTAGGTTACGTGTTGAGGACATGACCAGCAACATGGTCTCCTATGTTATGTGTTGAGGACGTGACCAGCAGCATGGTCTCCTATGTTACGTGTTGTGGACGTGGCCAGCAGCATGGTCTCCTGTGTTATGTGTTGAGGACATGACCAGCAACATGGTCTCCTATGTTATGTGTTGAGGACGTGAGCAGCAACATGGTCTCCTGTGTTATGTGTTGAGGACATGACCAGCAACATGGTCTCCTATGTTATGTGTTGAGGACGTGACCAGCAACATGGTCTCCTAGGTTACGTGTTAAGGACGTGACCAGCAGCATGGTCTCCTAGGTTACGTATTAAGGACGTGACCAGCAGCATGGTCTTCTGTGTTGCAGTGGCTGGCGGTGCCCTTCGCCATGAGTAACGAGGCCGTGGGCTCCCTTAGCCCCAGCGTGACGGACTGGTTGGGCTCCATCTCCGCGGACACGCCCTGGCTCTGGGGCGAGTGGACGGACTTCGCTGTGCTGCTCATCTTCGGGGGCATCCCCTGGCAGGTGTGTAGGTACACATGTGTTGCTGCATGTGCAGGTGTATTTGTGGGCGTGGTTTGTGTTTGCAACTGTCTGTAAGAATGTTTTATTTTTCTTCTTTTCTGAAGTTGCAGAAGTAGTGACAGATGTGTACTGTTGTTGCAGGTGTAGTGTGACGTTACTGGTATAGTGACAGATGTGTACTGTTGTTGCAGGTGTAGTGTGACGCTACTGGTGGAGTGACAGATGTGTACTGTTGTTGCAGGTGTAGTGTGACGTTACTGGTGTAGTGACAGATGTGTACTGTTGTTGCAGGTGTAGTGTGACGTTACTGGTGTAGTGACAGATGTGTACTGTTGTTGCAGGTGTAGTGTGACGCTACTGGTGGAGTGACAGATGTGTACTGTTGTTGCAGGTGTAGTGTGACGCTACTGGTGGAGTGACAGATGTGTACTGTTGTTGCAGGTGTAGTGTGACGTTACTGGTGTAGTGACAGATGTGTACTGTTGTTGCAGGTGTACTGTGACGTTACTGGTGTAGTGACAAATGTGTACTGTTGTTGCAGGTGTAGTGTGACGTTACTGGTGTAGTGACAGATGTGTACTGTTGTTGCAGGTGTAGTGTGACGTTACTGTTGTAGTGACAGATGTGTACTGTTGTTGCAGGTGTAGTGAAAGATGTGTACTGGTGTTGCAGGTGTAGTGACAGATGTGTACTGGTGTTGCAGGTGTAGTGAAAGATGTGTACTGGTGTTGCAGGTGTAGTGTGACGTTACTGGTGGAGTGACAGATGTGTACTGTTGTTGCAGGTGTAGTGAAAGATGTGTACTGGGGTTGCAGGTGTAGTGACAGATGTGTACTGGTGTTGCAGGTGTAGTGACAGATGTGTACTGGTGTTGCAGGTGCAGTGTGACGTTACTGGTGGAGTGACAGATGTGTACTGTTGTTGCAGGTGTAGTGTGACGTTACTAGTGTAGTGACAGATGTGTACTGTTGTTGCAGGTGTAGTGTGACGTTACTGGTGTAGTGACAGATGTGTACTGTTGTTGCAGGTGTAGTGAAAGATGTGTACTGGTGTTGCAGGTGTAGTGACATGTGTACTGGTGTTGCAGGTGTAGTGAAAGATGTGTACTGGTGTTGCAGGTGTAGTGTGACGTTACTGGTGGAGTGACAGATGTGTACTGTTGTTGCAGGTGTAGTGAAAGATGTGTACTGGGGTTGCAGGTGTAGTGACAGATGTGTACTGGTGTTGCAGGTGTAGTGACAGATGTGTACTGGTGTTGCAGGTGCAGTGTGACGTTACTGGTGGAGTGACAGATGTGTACTGTTGTTGCAGGTGTAGTGTGACGTTACTAGTGTAGTGACAGATGTATACTGGTGTTGCAGGTGTAGTGTGACCTTACTGGTGATTGGTACTTGTGTTGCAGGTGTACTGACACGTGTGTACTGGAGTTGAAGGTGTAGTGAAAGATGTGTACTGGTGTTGCAGGTGTAGTGACAGGTGTGTACTGGTGTTGCAGTTGTATTGACAGGTGTGTACTGGAATTGCAGGTGTAGTGACAGGTGTGTACTGGTGTTGCAGGTGTAGTGACAGGTGTGTACTGGAGTTGCAGGTGTAGAGACAGATGTGTACTGGTGTTGCAGGTGTAGTGACAGGTGTGTACTTGTGTTGAAGGATAGTGACAGGTGTGTTCTAGTATTGCAAGTGTAGTGTGACCTTACTGGTGTAGTGACAGATGTGTACTGGTGTTGCAGGTGTAGTGACAGGTGTGTACGTGTGTTGCAGGTGTAGTGACAGGTGTGTATTGTTGTTGCAGGTGTAGTGAAAGGTGTGTATTGTTGTTGCAAGTGTAGTGACGGGTGTGTACTAGTGATGCAGGTGTAGTGTGACCTTACTGTTGTAGTGACAGGTGTGTATTGTTGTTGCAGGTGTAGTGAAAGGTGTGTATTGTTGTTGCAAGTGTAGTGACGGGTGAGTATTAGTGATGCAGGTGTAGTGTGACCTTACTGGTGTAGTGACAGATGTGTACTGGTGTCGCAGGTGTAGTGACAGGTGTGTACCAGTGTTGCTGGTGTAGTGTAGCCTTACTGGTGTAGTGACAGGTGTGTACTGGTGTTGCTGGTGTAGTGACAGGTGAATACTGGTGTTGCAGGTGTAGTGGCAGGAGTGTACTAGTGTTGCAGGTGTAGTGAGACCTTACTGGTGTAGTGACAAGTGTGTACTGGAGTTGCAGGTGTAGTGACAGGTGTGTACTGGTGTTGCAGGTGTAGTGACAGGTGTGTGTACTGGTTTAGGAAGCCTGGTCGACGAACGGGCCGCGGGGACGCTAAGCCCCGGAAGCACCTCAAGGTAACCTCAAGGTGGTGTTGCTGGTGTAGTGACAGGTGTATACTGGTGTTGGAGGTGTAGTGTGACCTTACTGGTGTAGTGACAGATGTGTACTGGTGTTGCAGGTGTAGTGACAGGTGTGTACTAGTGTTGCTGGTGTAGTGTGACCTTACTGGTGTAGTGACAGGTGTGTACTGGTCTTGCTGGTGTAGTGACAGGTGTGTACTGGTGTTGCGTGTGTAGTGACAGGTGTGTACTAGTGTTGCAGGTGTAGTGTGACCTTACTTGTGTAGTGACAGGTGTGTCTACTGGTGTTGCAGTTGTAGTGACAGGTGTTGTGTGACCTTACTTGTGTAGTGACAGGTGTGTACTAGTGTTGCAGGTGTAGTGACAGGTGTGTACTGGTGTTGCATGTGTAGTTTGACGTTACTGGTGTAGTGACAGATGTGTACTGTTGTTGCAGGTGTAGTGCGTCTTTACTGATGTAGTGATAGACGTGTACTGGTGTTGCAGGTGTAGTGTAACGTTGCTGTTGTAGTGACAGATGTGTACTGTTGTTACAGGTGTAGTGACATATCTGTACTAGTGTTGCAGGTGTAGTGACAGGTGTGGGTACTGGTGTTGCAGGTGTATTGACACGTGTGTAATGGAGTTGCAGGTGTAGTGACAGATGTGTACTGGTGTTGCAGGTGTAGTGACAGGTGGGTACTGGTGTTGAAGGTGTATTGACAGGTGTGTATTGGAGTGGCAGGTGTAGTGACAGGTGTGTACTGGTGTTGTAGGTGTAGTGACAGGTGTGTACTGGTGTTGCAGGTGTAGTGACAGGTGTGTACTGGAGTTGCAGGTGTAGTGACAGATGTGTACTGGTGTTGCAGGTGTAGTGACAGGTGTGTACTGGTGTTGTAGGTGTGTACTAGTGTTGCAGGTGTAGTGTGACCTTTCTGGTGTAGTGACAGGTGTGTACTGGTGTTGCGGGTGTAGTGACAGGTGTGTACTGGTGTTGCAGGTGTAGTAACAGGTGTGTACTGGTGTTGCAGGTGTAGTGACAGGTGTGTACTGGTGTTGCAGGTGTAGTGACAGGTGTAGTGTGACCTTACTGGTGTAGTGACAGGTGTGTACTGGTGTTGCAGGTGTAGTGACAGGTGTGTACTGGTGTTGCAGGTGCAGTGACAGATGTGTACTGGTGTTGCTGGTATAGTGACAGGTGTGGGTACTGGTGTTGCAGGTGTAGTGACAGGTGTGTACTGGTGTTGCAGGTGTAGTGTGACCTTACTGGTGTAGTGACAGATGTGTACTGGTGTTGCAGGTTTAGTGACAGGTGTGTACTAGTGTTGCAGGTGTAGTGTGACCTTACTGGTGTAGTGACAGGTGTGTACTGGTGTTGCAGGTGTAGTGACAGGTGTGTACTGGTGTTGCAGGTGTAGTGACAGGTGTGTACTAGTGTTGCAGGCGTAGTGTGACCTTACTCGTGTAGTGACAGGTGTATACTGGTGTTGCACGTGTAGTGACAGGTGTGTACTAGTGTTGCAGGCGTAGTGTGACCTTACTCGTGTAGTGACAGGTGTATACTGGTGTTGCAGGTGTAGTGACAGGTATTTACTGATGTTGCAGGTGTAGTGACAGGTGTGTACTGGTGTTGCTGTTGTAGTGACAGGTGTGTACTGGTGTTGCAGGTGTAGTGACAAGTGTGTACTAGTGTTGCAGGTGTAGTGACACGTGTGTACTGGTGTTGCAGGTGTAGTGACAGGTGTGTACTGGTGTTGCAGGTGTAGTGACAGGTGTGTATTGGTGTTGCAGGTGTATTGACAGGTGTGTATTGGTGTTGCAGGTGTAGAGACAGGTGTGTACTGGTGTTGCAAGTGTAGTGACAGGTGTGTACTGGTGTTGCAGGTGTAGAGACAGGTGTACTGGTGTTGCAGGTGTAATGACAGGTGTGTTCTGGTGTTGCAGGTGTAGAGACAGGTGTGTATTGGTGTTGCAGGTGTAGTGACAGGTGTGTACTGGTGATGAAGGTGTAGTGACAGGTGTGTGTACTGGTGTTGCTGGTGTAGAGACAGGTGTGTACTGTTGTTGCAGGTGTAGTGCATCTTTACTGATGTAGTGATAGACGTGTACTGGTGTTGCAGGTGTAGTGTAACGTTGCTGTTGTAGTGACAGATGTGTACTGTTGTTACAGGTGTAGTGACAGATGTGTACTGGTGTTGCAGGTGTAGTGACAGGTGTGGGTACTGGTGTTGCAGGTGTATTGACACGTGTGTAATGAAGTTGCAGGTGTAGTGACAGATGTGCACTGGTGTTGCAGGTGTAGTGACAGGTGGGTACTGGTGTTGCAGGTGTTTTGACAGGTGTGTATTGGAGTTGCAGGTGTAGTGACAGGTGTGTACTGGTGTTGTAGGTGTAGTGACAGGTGTGTACTGGTGTTGCAGGTGTATTGACACTTGTGTACTGGAGTTGCAGGTATAGTGACAGATGTGTACTGGTGTTGCAGGTGTAGTGACAGGTGGGTACTGGTGTTGAAGGTGTATTGACAGGTGTGTATTGGAGTGGCAGGTGTAGTGACAGGTGTGTACTGGTGTTGTAGGTGTAGTGACAGGTGTGTACTGGTGTTGCAGGTGTAGTGACAGGTGTGTACCTTAGTTGCAGGTGTAGGGACAAATGTGTACTGGTGTTGCAGGTGTAGTGACAGGTGTGTACTGGTGTTGTAGGTGTGTACTAGTGTTGCAGGTGTAGGGTGACCTTTCTGGTGTTGTGACAGGTGTGTACTGGTGTTGCGGGTGTAGTGACAGGTGTGTACTGGTGTTGTAGGTGTAGTAACAGGTGTGTACTGGTGTTGCAGGTGTAGTGACAGGTGTGTAGTGGTGGTGCAGGTGTAGTGACAGGTGTGTACTAGTGTTGCTGGTGTAGTGACAGATGTGTACTGGTGTTGCAGGTGTAGTGACAGGTGTGTACTGGCGTTGCAGGTGTAGTGACAGGTGTGTACTAGTGTTGTAGGTATAGTGACAGGTGTGTACTGGTGTTCGAGGTGTAGTGACAGGTGTGTACTAGTGTTGTAGGTGTAGTGACAGGTGTGTACTGGTGTTCCAGGTGTAGTGACAGGTGTGTACTAGTGTTGTAGGTGTAGTGACAGGTGTGTACTGGTGTTATAAGTGTAGTGACAGGTGTGTACTAGTGTTGTAGGTGTAGTGACAGGTGTGTACTGGTGTTCCAGGTGTAGTGACAGGTGTGTACTAGTGTTGTAGGTGTAGTGACAGGTGTGTACTGGTGTTACAAGTGTAGTGACAGGTGTGTACTAGTGTTGTAGGTGTAGTGACAGGTGTGTACTGGTGTTCCAGGTGTAGTGACAGGTGTGTACTAGTGTTGTAGGTGTAGTGACAGGTGTGTACTGGTGTTACAAGTGTAGTGACAGGTGTGTACTAGTGTTGTAGGTGTAGTGACAGGTGTGTACTGGTGTTGCAGGTGTGTACTAGTGTTGCAGGTGTAGAGACAGGTGTGTACTGGAGTTGCAGGTGTAGTAACAGGTGTGTACTGGTGTTGCAGGCGTACTTCCAGCGTGTGTTGTCAGCCCGGACCAGGAGGCAGGCGGAGGTGCTATCCTACGCGGGCTCTGTGGGCTGCTTCCTGATGGCGGTGCCAGCCTGCTTCATTGGTGCCATCGCTAAGGCCACCGGTCAGTTGCCACTCCTTCCATCATCATGCCTTCCTTCACCATGATACTCTCAACCTCCATCATGTTAATATCTGACCTCATCATGATAATATATAGCTACATCATGTTAATATAGCTCCGTCATGATAATATATAGCTCCATCATGTTAATATAGCTCCGTCATGATAATATATAGCTCCATCATGATAATATATAACTCCATCATGATAATATAGCTCCGTCATGATAATATATAGCTCCATCATGTTAATATATAGCTCCATCATGATAATATAGCTCCATCATGATAATATAGCTCCGTCATGATAATATATAGCTCCGTCATGATAATATATAGCTCCATCATGTTAATATAGCTCCGTCATGATAATATATAGCTCCATCATGATAATATATAACTCCATCATGATAATATAGCTCCGTCATGATAATATATAGCTCCATCATGTTAATATATAGCTCCATCATGATAATATATAGTTCCATCATGTTAATATATAGTTCCATCATGATAATATATAGCTCCATCATGTTAATATATAGCTCCATCATGTTAATATATAGTTCCATCATGATAATATATAGCTCCATCATGTTAATATATAGCTCCATCATGATAATATATAGTTCCATCAGGATAATATATAGCTCCATCATGTTAGTATATAGCTCCTTCTTTATAATATATTGCTCCATCATAACAATATATAGCTCCATCATGTTAATATATAGTTCCATCATGTTAATATAGTTCCATCATGATAATATATAGCTCCATCATGTTAATATATAGCTCCATCATGTTAATATATAGTTCCATCATGTTAATATAGTTCCATCATGATAATATATAGCTCCATCATGTTAATATATAGTTCCATCATGTTAATATAGTTCCATCATGATAATATATAGCTCCATCATGTTAATATATAGCTCCATCATGTTAATATATAGCTCCATCATGATAATATATAGCTCCGTCATGATAATATATAGCTCCATCATGATAATATATAGCTCCATCATGATAATATATAGCTCCATCATGTTAATATATCTCCGTCATGATAATATATAGCTCCTTCTTTATAATATATTGCTCCATCATAACAATATATAGCTCCATCATGTTAATATATAGTTCCATCATGTTAATATAGTTCCATCATGATAATATATAGCTCCATCATGTTAATATATAGCTCCATCATGTTAATATATAGCTCCATCATGTTAATATATAGCTCCATCATGTTAGTATATAGCTCCATCATATTAGTATATAGCTCCATCATGTTAGTATATAGCTCCATCATGTTAATATATAGACCGATCATGTTAATATGTACCTCAGTCATGAAATCTACCTTCATCATGAAAGTATCTTCCTTCATCATTATAGTATCTACCTTCATCATTATAGTATCTACCTTTATCATTATAGTATCTACCTTCATAATTATAGTATCTACCTTCATCCTGCTAATATCTACCTTCATCATGATAATATCTACCTTCATCATTATTGTATCTACCTTCATCATTATAGTATATACCTTCATCATGATAGTATCTGCCTTCATCATAATAATATCTACCTTCATCATCATAGTATCTACCTTCATCATCATAGTATCTACCTTCATCATGATAGTATCTGCCTTCATCATAATAATATCTACCTTCATCATTATAGTATCTACCTTCATCATTATAGTATATACCTTCATCATTATAGTATCTGCCTTCATCATGATAATATCTACCTTCATCATCATAGTATCTACCTTCATCATGATAGTATCTGCCTTCATCATAATAATATCTACCTTCATCATCATAGTATCTACCTTCATCATCATAGTATCTACCTTCATCATGATAGTATCTGCCTTCATCATAATAATATCTACCTTCATCATTATAGTATCTACCTTCATCGTGATAGTATCTAGGTAGGATATAAGGAGGAGGAGCTTTTGATAACATTCCTCACACTTGCCTCTTGGCAAAGCTTGTACCTTTAGGCGTACAGGGAAGATTACTTCTATGGCTACAATCCTATCTTACGAACAGAACCGCCAAAGATTATATATAAGGCAGGTTTTCAGACAGCATTATTATTCGAACGGGTGTCCCGCAAGTCTCCATACTAATCCCAACCCTTTTTGCTGCATTCTTAGCCGATTTACCTAACACTCATCCCGTCCACCTCTCGGCATACACGACGACTTAAGATTGTATTATTCAGACACTGCCCTACCTACTACAGTCTTAACAATGCAAACAGCACTTGACCACCTCAGTGCTTGGACACAACAACGGGGCCTCCAAGTTAGTACTACTAAAACCTGTTATCAGATCTTCACTAACAAAAGACTTGTTCATCTACCCACCCTCACAATACACAACACTCCCATCCAACACGTACGAAGATAAATACCTTGGCATGCACTTAGACTCGCCCTCACTTACCTGGACAGCACACATTCAACACCTTAAACAGGCGACACAACCCCGACTCACCATACTTAAAGCCCTCACTGGCACCACCTGGGGAGCACACCTAAAATTTTGTTCCGTTTCTATACAACCAACATTCGTGGCCAACTACACTATTGGTGCCAGACATATGCGTCGGTTGCACCTACTAACCTACAGAGCCTTGAGGGCATTCAAAACAATGCCATGCGATTACACACAGAAATCACAATTGCGTGATGTTTCAAATGAACAAATCCACAAGGGAGGGGGGGGGGGGAGTTGTGTAAAACCCTGGTTTGTGCCTCGGAGAGGCTGCAGGATCCAGTAAGTTCAGTAAAACTTTGGTTTCAACTCCTTTTGACCATGTCGTAGCTCAGTCGATTAAGGCAGCGTCTGGGATGCTCTCGGACGCAGGTTCGAATCCTCGTCACGGCCCTTGTGGATTTGTTCAATGCCATGCGACTTATATGTGGCGCTAACCTTCCCGGTTTGGTGCCTTCTTTTGATAATTACTTATATGCGGCACAATGCGTTCCACCCCTATCCTCGGCCTTCACGGGGGAAACGGGCCTCACAAGCCTAGCCACCAGACGAGACATAATGTGTGCCAACTATCTGTCACTCTGTACCACTGCTCACCAGACACACTCATACAGATAAAAAAATACCCAACTGTCCCCCCCCCCCCACTTCCCCACCAATCACTCACAACCTTTCCTCACACGTACTACAAATAACCTCAATTTAGACCTTACTTTATTCTGAAACTCTGAAACTCAACTTACTGCCCCCCCCTCCCTCCTTACTCCATCTTGGCTTTATACAACTCCTAAAACACTAATACAACTGGAAGTAACATTCCAAAGTCTGCACCAAACTCACCCATAGCCTCAGTCTTTGTCTCAACAATGACAAATTGTTGCCCAAATGCCACTGCGACTTACGCTGATGGATCTCTCATCCTCATGAACAACACCCTCGGTCACTAGCGCTGTGGGGATCCCTCAATACCATCTCAGGCAGGGACGGCCGTTACCAAACCATCTATCTATTTTCGCAGCTGAATTATATGCCTTATATCTGGCTCTTCAAGTAATCACAACATTACCAGTTGGGATATATACAATCTGTAGTGACTCCAAGAGTGCGATTCAAGCACTAATGTACTCTTCCACAACGTGCAAAGTGTTTGTCCACCCGTGCCTTCAACTTCTCTGTGAACATCGATTGAACGGGTATGACGGTCCCAGCACATTGTGGTATACTTCATAATGAACTTGTAGACCAACTGGCCATAGTGATGCACAACACGCCTCACATTACCCGTCATCCAATTCCTCATGTTGCACGTAAAGGAGCCTTCAAAAATACCATCACCCAAGATTTTTTACAAAATTGAGAACGTCATGCTCACCTTGGCACTATGGGCCCATAAAAAAAGAAATTAGAAACATGGAAACATGTCATATATATAAAAACAGAGAAATTGATGTAACGATGACCAGAATAAGGCTGATACACACCAAACTGGCAGCACACAGCTCTAAATATAGAATAACCAATGAACTTTGCATCCACTGTCAGGTGCCTGAAACACTATCTCCTTCACTATTTCCGACATCATAGTGCCAGAGTAAATTTCAAACAAGTATTTATCGCACTTAAAATACCCTTTACCATCGAGCACATATTATTAGGACTACTCGTTACAGGAAAACTACCAAATAGTCAAAGCACTGGCTAAATATCTCCAGTCGACCAACAAATTGGGCCACATCTGACCTGTGCCACCTGGCACCACCAGCGGCTGAACACAGTAAACAACTGCCTCGCCGGTAAGGAGGGGGGGTGGAGGGTAGACAGAAACGCACAGTACAGAAAAAGCACAATTAACAATAAAAGTATGAATATAAAAACAAACAAAAAAAGTCATATGAAAACCTCAAAACAGCACAGAAGACAAACAGAAGCATCAGGATCCGGCAAACTACATTAACAAACAAGAGAAAAAACACCAAACCCGCGAACGGGTCCAGAAAGTCTAATACTTGTCCGGAAATTGACTCTGAGGATATTTCCACCAGTACTCAATCCTCAACGCCTTGTCCTCCTCAGACGCAGAGTGACGGGGGCGTCCACATAACACCGGACTGGACCGCACTGGGCCCACCTCCACTGGAGCCGGCAGCATGGGGACCCCCTGGCACAGGGCCCTTCGTCACGGAGTCTTGCTTCATGGCGTGTTTTTTCAGTACGAGAACTAAATCTCGGCTCTCACCAGTGATCACAGCAGGGGCAACAACCCCCCACTCCAGGGAACCTGCACATGAAATGGAGGGAAATAACTTTGTAACGCACCACCAACATGGGTTCAGAGATGGTAAATTGTCCCTCACAGGTTTAATAGAATTCTATGACCAGGCAACAAAAATTAGGCAGGAAAGAGAAGGGTGGGCTGACTGCATTTTCCTGGACTGCCAGAAAGCCTTTGACACAGTACCTCATAAAAGGC